GATGAGGAATGAGACAAAGAAGTTAAACAACCTGCCCAAGGTCACACAGCTAGGAAAAGACAAAAGCCAGAATTCTACTGGCAAAAGTCTGACACCAAAGTTTATACTCTTTCCTGGGAAAAAACTGGATGTGGTCTCAAGAAGGGCAGACGATACTAAAATACCAGAGTAATGGAAAAAAGAGTATTTACAGAACCAGAAACCAGAATTCTCAATCTCATGCTCTGTGCCTGTCTCTCAGACCACATGGTTTCTCTCTTGGAATTCTGTGCTTCTCTGGGTACGGATGCTCAACTCTTTGCTAGCTACCAACTGGTTTCCTCATCTCCTTTATCATTTCTGTAATTCATAGCCTCTGCTTACACTGGACTTACTTTCCAGTCTCTTCAACTTCAGTTTGACAGGCCTCTAAACTCATGTATTCTTCCAGCTTCAACTCACTCCCATGGCTCAATGGCAAATTAACGCCATGCTTCCTATAAATGGCTATAATTTTCCCCACTAGACAATCCTAGGTTGTTAGCTGGCTTACAAATTAGCAGCCCTTAGGTCAAATGCAACTCCTGGACCAAACAGCTGCAATATAGTTCTACATGGTAAAACAAACGAAAACACATAGCTATTGAGAGTTCTTCCGTAAAGTGCTGTAGGAAAAGTAGATTTCCTTCAAAGGAGCTGTGGGCAGATCGGAATTATAAAACGCATATCGAAAACACCGAGTCAGCCAAGTCACCACTAACCTGGGGCTCAAAAGTCCTGTCAATGTTTCTAATCTATTTAGTTATAATAATTACACAGTTACAAATACAAATTCTGATTATTAAGGAGGTCACGTAATTTATAGTGTTGCACAAGTAAGACATGGGTCACAGGTCCAGCTACTGCTAAATCGAAAGCTTCCCTACTATGTTGACAATCCTGCCACAAGAGAAGGAAAATCTACTGTCACCTGTCATTTTCAATTCTGCTCAGAGACGGAAGTAGTCAACATCAATAACCCTATCCATTCCTATAGCTATGTCCGTTGGGCCAACTGGACTGAAGCAGATGAGGGGTCTAGAGGTGTTGACATTGTTTCTACAGCCAATTCAGAGTTGCCCACACTATTTTGATAAACAAGTGCAGCGCACAGAAGCTTCGACAGCAGTACTAGTTCCCAAGTTCAAAGCTCTGAAGCGAGATCTTTAAAAACCTTATTGCAGATGAGTTCTATCCTACACCTTAATGACAGAGGAAGACTTTGAATTTAAAACTTTCTGCTACATAATTGCTAAGACCAAGTAAGAGAGACAGAAAAGAAAACGTAACCAAAACTTATTAAAGCTAATTTCCTATCAATGTTGTTTTAAGCCTTTCTGTTGGGAAGATTACCTAATCCATCTTTAACTAGAAGTCTTTTAGTTCTTTTTAAAGAAGACATGTTCTAAACTGTTTGGATTTTCTTCCATTTTCACATACAAATTTTAAATCTACAGCCTCAAGAAGAGAAGAAACAGTGAGAAGCTAAAAGTTAGCAACAGTATATGTACTCATCATTTTCATTCTAATCTGCTTCATTTCTAGAGGCTGAATAACTAGTCCCACTTTACCAAATGCAACTGTATTTTTTGCCCCATCCAGTCGACCTTTCGACCCAGAGCACGCCAAAAAGACTCATTCCTGTTGCTTTATTTTCAGTCACTGTTCTCCAACAGGTACATGTTCTTCCCACCTGAACGAAATACGTTCCTTAAGGACCGCTCCTGCCCTCACCAAGCCCCCTCTCCTGTGAAGTGCACTTCAACCTGACACAGAGCTGCATACGGCCTTATGTTATTTACGATCGTTTCACACTATTTCATCTCTTACCAAGATGTAAATGACTAAGACTTACATTTCTATGATAACATTCACCAATACTATGCTCACAGAAAACAGTCAAAAATATGGTTGACAAAAAGAGCAAGTCAGAAGCAGTTTCTAATCCATAAGATACCCTCAAAGTGTTTCTCTTTTAGATGTATCCCTGACGCCCCAGCTTTCAGAGATAGGGTTGAAACTACACAAGCCAACAAAAAATATACCAGCAAATCACAACTGTGGAAGAAAAGCAACAGAGGTTACCCTAACGACAACTTACAGAATAAAAGTTACGTCAATCAAACACACACTAATCCCCACCTACGAAACCCTAAACTCTATAAAGATTTCAGCACATTCAGAGAAAAGCATCTTAAAAGCAGCAACAGAAAATATACAGATTTGTCATGCAAACTAATTCCAGAAGGCCAGGAATGTTCTGGTCAAATCCTGGGAACCTAGTGGTCTAAAGACTAATTTACTCCAGTAACCCTAGACTTCTAGAGCAACCACAGATACAAGAGAAGGTAGGCTGTGATTACACTTGCTCTTCAAGGTCCTGAGACAGAGTGAAGATCTACTTCAGCTAAGCACTTTGTTTACACTTTCTCATTTATCTTTACAATGATCCTAGGAGAGGACACTCTTATGCCTATTTCACAAATAAGGGAAGCTGAATTTTAAAGAAATTAAGTAACTTGCCCACATTCATCCAAACTTCAAGCACAGGATTAAAACCACTGCCTATGACACACACAAAAAACTAATTTTAAATTTAACTTGGTAAATTATTTGACTGATTCCAAGAAGACTTGGATGCGCTATTAGAAATTTAAGGCAACACGAAATCATAGTTTTGATATTCACATTCCTTTCAATGTAAATTAAACTATAGGCTTATACATTCAATTAAAAATATAACTGATAATTTTTAGACAAGACCCAACCAAAATTAATGTTTCTCAAGCAAGCACTTCTGAGTATATTATTCCTTGTTCAAAACACCATCAGTGGCATTTAACTTTATGACAGTTGGCCAGCCATTTGGATAAAAAGACAAAAGACAGATCTTATTAAAATAAATAGGATGAATTAAAGATGAAAAACATTTAAGTCATAAAAATATTAGAAATAAACACAGGTAAATGGCTGTTCCTGTCTTTTGCTCAATTGCTTTAAAATTGGGGTGCCTGTATTTTTTTTTTACTCATACATTTTACATACAATGGATACAAGTCCTCTGTCAGATTTAAGTACTGCAGGCACTTTTTCTAGTATGTCACTTACCTTTTCACTCTCTTAATAGTATCCTCTGACACTAGAGAAGTTCTTTAATGAAGAACAATTTATCGGGCTTTTCTGGTTGTTACTTTTTGTGTCCTACTGAAAACAAATCTTTGCCTCCCATAGGGTCATGTAGGTATTTTTCTATGTTTTCTTCTAGAAACTTTATTTTTCACCTTTCATATTATATCTACAGTTGCTTGAAGGAGCATGTTACAAAACTATTTCAGAAAACAGGGGGGAAAAGGGAAAGCTTCACTGCTTATTTTATGAAGCCAGCAAAATATGTACATATAAACCCCTGATAAATTTATCTACTGATAAATGTAGATTTTAAAAAACTGTAAGACAATGGCAAATCGAGTTCAGCGGTGTGGGAAGAAAAAAGGGAATGCAACACTGCTAAGTAGGGTTGGACCCAAAAAATGCAAACAGGAGATAATCTATTAATGCAATACATCCTATTAGCAGATTAATGCAGAAAAGACATATGATCATCTCTATGGCTACAGAAAAAAAACACTTGATAAAATCAATATTTAGAATATTTTTAAAAACTCATACAAAAATAAGACTAGAAAGTATTTCTTAATATTTTACAGTTATCTATCAAAAACATAGTAAGGTAGGGGAAATAAGGAGAGGTTTGTAAAAAGGTATAAATTTTCAGTTATGAGATGAACAAGGTCTGAAGACAATGTATAATGTGGTAATTATAGATGACAATGAACACTATATTGTATAAGAGAAATTTGCTAAGAAAATAGAACTTAAATGTTCTCACAAAAAAAAGTAAATATGTGAGGTGATGAGTGTGTTAATTAACTCAATGGGGGGAATCTTTCGCAATGTAAATGCGTTATATCACCACATTGTTCACTTTAAATATCTTACAATTTTGTCAATGATACTTTGATAAAGCTGAAAAACATATTTAATAATATCCACTATGTTTTCTCTTTTCTGCACAATGTTCCTTTCTTATTAATGTCTATTTGTGTGTATAATTTACTTATTTATATATTAGTTAGTTGAAATATAAACATATTTAAAGGTAATATTTTTATCTGTTATTGCTGTATACCGAGCACCAAGAACTATTCCTGGCACAGAGAAAATGCTCTGTGATCTTTTTTTAGTGAATAAAGAAATGAATGGTTTCTAAATCAAAATTTGCATTTGGGAAAAAATTATAGTACTTTCTTTTGACATTTCTGTAGAAATGAGCAGATATATAGGCTAAGTTTAGGTATATAAAAATAAACATAAACATACATATTACTTATGTATGAAAATATTGCTTAGATTACTAAAATAACCATATCTGATTTAAATTAAAAAACTAGAGTAAGATTTATTTAATGATAAGGTCACAGATAACTCTTATTAAAGTCAGGAATAGTGAATTCAGAACCATCTACCTCGAGTGAGCCCCAACACCGCCTGGCGAGCAATCACACTGTATTTCTCTATTCTACAGACTTTTCCACTCTTGGATAGATGATTATGTCCTATTTTCCCCTCTTCTTAAACCTCCAATACCACACTCCCATTCTTCCCTACTCAGCTAATGATCTTGCTTCCTATTCACTAAGGTAAACAGAAAACCTTGGATGAGAACTTCCTCAAGCCACCACCATCCTGTCTCTGTCAATGCATTCTGCCTGCTCTCCCCTCTGTAGATAAACTCTCCCTACTCCTAGGAAAGCAAAGTAATCCTTCCACCTGGGCACAGATCAGGGGTAAGGGAAGCAGAGTCCACGCCGCCTCTGGCTGCTTTCGTGCTATGAAAGCAAAGCTGAGTAGCAGTAACAAAAACTGTATAGCCCACAAAGCCTAAACGCCGCCTAGCGCTTTAAAGAAAACAATGTGCTGACCTCTACGCTAGATCTTCTCTCTTCTCATCTAATATGGACAGTGCTGGTCGAAAGGGCCCACAAAGTTCCACACACAAGAAATGAAGTAAGACCTGCACAAGAAGTGTACAAGATCAGGGACACAGCAGATATACTGACGACAAAGAAAAGGTCTTAATGGGGACAGGTTACATGTGAAGGATGAAGACTGTAGAGCATGACTTTTCAACAACCACTTGAAGCGAGAAAATTACAGTGTAATCTCTTAAATTTTCAGTGAAAATTATTTTGCCTTGGAATTCTCTACCCAGACCAGCCAAATTATCAACCAGGTGTCAGGATAGAAAAAAAGATAATTTCAGCAATACAGACAATCTCAAAAAGTTCACCTCCTCAGACACTCTAAAATTAAAAGTTAAAAACAAAGGTGTCGATGGAGAAAGAGGAAGGCATGGATCCAGAGACCACGGGCTCTAACACAGGAAAAAGGCGGGGGAAAATCGCAGCATCCCGATGCAGTGAGATCTCAAGCCAACGCCATGCAGCAGAAGTGGGGAGCCACAGTGCAGACTGGAGCAAAAGGACACAAAGCCCTCCGATTTTTCCAATTAAAAAAAAAATGGATCAATTACTCAATGTATTTGAACATAATGGGACGACAGGCTCTAGAAAAAAATTAGAGACAAATAGGAAACTAAGCAAAAAAACAAAAACAAAGAAAAAATTTTAACTCCAAGAGTTACAATCATAGTACATAGCAAGGTTCACTGGTGGACGTATTTGCAAAGTGATAATAAAGTAAACGACAAACACTGATTTAACCAAAAGCGTTACATAACTACATGGGAGGTAAATGGAGAGGAAGTTCAAGGTGGCATAAAAATCCTAAAGCGGACTCATCTTCCACAGTAGGAAGCCAAGAGAGAATACCTAAAATTGAAAAACAAACAGCATTTTAAAATATGGAAGTAAACATCAAAGAAACAGCCAAAAGCACTGAAAACAGCAGCCGAGAGTTGAGGCCTGGGAGGGAAAGTTCCATGACCAGGCAGGGTGGGGGACTGATGTTTCCCACCATACGGCTTATAGCACAATTTTCCTTTTAACTGCACAGCTGTATTATTTAAAGTAAAAAACTAATGTGCTCTTTAAAAAAAAAAAAATAATAAAACTAGTGGTTTTCTATCGTTTAATATCAATTAATTCACTCACCCCACAATGATTATCTGGACATTGACTATGTGCCGGGTACTTTTCTAGGTGCTAGGATTACAAAAGTGAACAAAACGAAGCCCTCGCCCTCATGAAGCTTATATCCAGAAGGAGGCAGATAATAAGCAATTAATGTATGCTGTGATGTCAGATAAATTAATGTTGTGGGAAAAAAACAAAAGTAAGGGTAGGGTGTGGTGGGGATGCTACTCAGGTTGAGTTTTCACAAAAGGCTTTCCAGGAATCAATCTAAAAAAGAAACTCTGTTTTGAGAAAAGGTTGTGTAAGTAAACTAACAGAAGAGTATCGATAAAGTTCAAGGTGACAGCTTCATGTTAAGCCTCTCATGTATCATTCAAGAGCCAGTACCAAAGTTCTCCGCAGTGACACCCATAAATCGCCAGGGACCCTCAACCTAAGTCATATGAACACTGCTATTTATACTCTTCTTATAACCCTAACTAGCCGTTATTTATTAAAGTGACTGGGTAAATTTATACTCAAACTTTTTTCTTTCCATAGATGTCCCACATGTCAAATTCCGGTCTTTTATTCCTATTATGTAGTTAAAAGTTTTCTTAAATCATAAGCTAAAGACATTAGTCAAGAAAAATCCCAGATTAATTCCTTCCAAGTTACCACAATTTATCACATCTCATGTTCATTCTCTCACAATAGAGGAATCCTAAACCAATGGGAATAACACACATTTAAAGAAACAATTTATAGGGTAATGCAAGACATTCACTTTACTCTCCAAGGAAACTTACTCAGGCTGAGGCAGAGTTTCAAGCTGTTTGAACTCTCTTTTCATCTATAACTGGGTAACTTAAAAAATGTAATATTCAGACTGAAGCGACAATTTATCCCAAATACGTCTGTTATACAATAAAAACCTCATATTCAAAAAATAGAATTGATTTTAAAATGTCTTATTCTCAAAACACTTCTACTATTAAAAGTAACTTCAAACTGTCTTTTACATAACTGTCTTTTAAAAAGCAATACTTTTAAACAGGCTTGAAAGTTTAACAAAAAGAAAAACCAATTCATTTAATTAAATTTCACTTCACGGTTGAGTTTAAAGTTAAAGCTACGTAGAAATGTCTGGAGAAGCGGACCAGTAGCTGTGCTGTACGCTGACCTGCAGCACTAGACGGTAACACTCTTCCCAAAGTGGAGCGACTCCTAATACACATAAGGGCTACAATCGGCGCTTCCATTCACTGCCTACTGGCCACCTGTGTGCTTCACATCTTCAAAACCTGTCTCCTCATCTAAAAAATGGAATATATGCTGCCTATAGAGGGTCAATCCTGTCAATGAGAAGTACCAAAATATTTAAATATCTATAATACATTAAAAAAAAAAAAAAAGCTTTGTGATTTGTAAAGAACTACATCAATATTTGCCCCATATTTGACAAAAAAGGAAAGAATCACTTTCGGTCAAACTTTTCTGATTTTAGCAACTAATGATTATGAGTCTATGGAAGAACAGTCGGACACTGGTCCGTCCACTCACACACACAGCCAAAAAATGATTTTTTAAAAATTTTGACTTAAAAAGTTAGACTCCCTTATAAACAAGTGCCAAAGAGAGAATATTTTTAGCCAACATTTCATTTAACTATATAAACCAAAAGAATAAAACTGTTTAATCACATGTAAACTGTGCATCATCTGGCTTCAGGTAGAATGTGTATTTCTGGTATACTTAGGAACCAGACACCCAAAGTTTATAAACATCAGCACATTTTTAAAACAATACTTACTGCTATTGTTCACTTATGAAAAATTCCCACTGTTCTTAGAAGGAAAAACACAAGCCATATCCTTAACTCCAAGTAACTCATCAGAGGAGTTTTTACTTCTTAAACTAACATTAAACAGTGTTGACACTGAAGCAGACTATTTGCCTACTTACCCTCTGAGCTCCATCAGGGCACAGACCTGTCTTTTTCTCTGTTATATCTCCAACATCTAGGCAACTAACTGGTACCAATTAGGTACTCAATAAATATGTGTAGGATGAGTGAATGAATGAATGAATGCACAAATAAACTTGGTCTCTGAACAAAAGCTTAAGTGCTTTAAGTTGCAACAGAACAATTTCACCTATATATCTTCATTCACTATAAACAACTACTCTCAACTATAAAGACATAATACACTGAAAAAGACATGTACCTAGTAAACACACACACACACACAGAAATATATTATTCACATGGGTAATAGAAGTACACAAAGTAAAAGATTCAAAAACCAGTTTTTTAGTTAGATTTTCTCTCAGAAAATTTTGGTGTGTTCTTTCTGATATTAAATATATATATCTCAGAAAAGCATGTTGCGATCTTGATAATGTAAACACAATCTCTAAAGTTTTGTTGCAATCTGGAATAATTTAGGCAAAGTGAACAAAATTTCCAGATTCTAAGGGTATTTTGAAAATTCAAATTCCTTAATTCAGTGAAAGATGGAATAAATTAGGGGGAAAAAAGTATATCCTAGCATTTCAATATTATATTGAATTTTAAAAAGGAAAATAAACTGCTTAAAATAAATTACACAAACTATTTATACAAAAAAAGCATCTAATGTCCTTATATTTGATCTTTAAGCTAACAAGACAAGTTATTTTCCAAACCTTTAAAGCCAGATGATAAACTTTATGCCTACAAAGCTTGTTAGAGATTATTTTTATTAAAACATTGTTTGGATAAGTTATAATTTTAAAGTCTACAGTAAGATATTCGGCAGTAACAGTAATAAACATTATACGTATGACTCTACTGCACTTGTATAAGCATAATTATCTGAGTAGAACAGGCTTTTACAGCCAGCAAGCTATGGTCTGTGACTGCGATCGCATGCGTGCACGGATCTTAAAGTTTCCCCAAACTCTAATGGTCATCTTCAGAGACGTTCAAAAGAGTCGATCTGAGGGTGAGTACAAAAAACACCACCAAAATCAACTCATAAACACTGGTACGAAAACAAGAACTCTCTATAGAAACTACAGCGTTGAAACGTAAAAATCCAGGGCACATAAAAGGTAAAGCTCAATTAACTGCTGTCTAGGTTTCCCACTTTATGGTCTTAAACACTGGGTATTAGATATTTCTCTTTAGCGCTTAAACAGAAATTTAGTGTTTCCTCGCCCCTCCTCCACAGCTAGCATCAGTGCCCTCTCCTCCTCCTCCCTCACCCCTCCCAGTTCAAACAAATTAACATTTGTACTAAGGTGCCTCCTATCAGCTCGCAGCTTCTTCCCAAACACGCCCACGTACACAGAAACCGGCCGGAGTCTACACAACAGGCAGCTACAGAAGAGCTTGGAGGGGGACGTTTGGGGCGGCGGGGAGTCAGCCCCGCAAAGGTTTACTTTTCTAGACAGCTCCTCACTCGGGGCTCGGGTTGCTCCCTAGTCACCTCCCGAGCATGGTGTTTAGGTGCCTAACTAATCCGATACCGCAGTGGAATTCCGGATATTTCCAGACAGACAGCCCGGCTCTGCAAGTGTTTGATCAGAGCCGTCCAAACCCTCGCAGTCCGCCCGCTCCCAGGTGTCCAGCCACCGGAGCCCGGGCAGCGCCCGGATCCCGCAACCCGCCG